ATAAAGGTAAAAAATAACAAACAAACATACAAATATTACCTCCAAATCCATATGATCAACAATATGTATGATTGAACCACCCCCCTCACAAGGTCGTATCAAGTATCCACTAGGTAGCATTTCTGCTCTCACAAAATGTTGCACAGGTGGCATGCTAGGACCATTTTGAGTGTTTTTTAGCGACCTCTCACAAACCTGGCATTACACTGCACTAGATGAAGGACTCAAAGAAAAAGACAACTAACAAGGTAAAGCAAAATAAACAAAAATATGGTACTGTCAGCTGGTAAATAACATGAATATCGTGTCTGACCACATGATAACGAAAATCATAGCAGGTAATTGCATACCGCGAGACTGCCATCTTCTAAAACGGATGTATAGCGCAACAACCAGAAGTCCCGAGCTGGTGCCAATGTTGTTGGTGCATAGAGCTTTTTTATCCCAAAAAAAAAAAGGCGAGGCATCAAATCATTTAATTTTAAAATTCTCCAACAAATATAATAAGAGAACACTTAATATAATCCTTTAGTCCTTACCTGCATGTACAGCAGCTCAATGGTTCCACCATTAGCTGTAGGCAGCACATTGAGAACATCCACAGCTCGGCAATCACGAAACCAGGAGGGACGATCCTTGAGGATTTCTGCAACCTGGAAGAGGTATAATCATTTGGATTAAATCATACCTACAGATTAGAGAATCTAGCAGAAGGCTAAGAAGTCTGGTAGACTTACCCTCGTAGGCTCGAGGCCAACAAGGCCACATGCGCGTGCTGCCACGCCAGTGCAACCATGAGAAATAGCAACGATTCCAATGGAATCCGGACCAGGCTGTTAGATATTTGAAAAATTATTTAAAAAAACAGTAAGATGGAGCCTTTTCCAAAGGCTGAAAAATCATCCATATAAAAAGGTGAGGAAAACAGAAACAGATAAGAAGGAATAAAACTACTAGAATTCAGGAGTGAACCTATATCAAGGTCCATAATATCATATGATTAGTAATACGCTTAGATTTCACACATTCACTATTAAGTACTCTTTATTTAACAAAGTAAGCTAATAATAGTTTAAAGAAAACCGCCTATTATTTTTATTAAAAAAGAAGGAAGAAAAGTCAAGAAATACCTTCATTCCAGGCATTTGGACCCACTCCACAGCAGTTCCAGTGGCCTTTGAAAGAAACTCTGCTAAAGTCTCTTCTGCAATGGACAAAAGCCTGAAAAGAATACAAAGCATGAATTCACAACCCAAAAACCAAACTACTCTCACTCTCTCTCTCTCACACACACACACACGCACGCACAACAAAGTGGACACCAATCACGATAAGAGAAAAGGACCCAACAACTGTATCCCCACTAACCCTGCAGGACTAGCATCCCTCGGCGGATGCTGAGGTGTCAAATGGTGTTGACCGCTTGTCACCACCGATTCACAGCTTGTATCTTTGGTTGCAAGCGTTGTCTGCTACAAAACAATCATTCTCTTTTGTCAAAACATATAAGTCGTAGCTTAAAATATTCTATTCTACAAGAATTAAAGAAAGAAAGTGTGCGTTTGAGTAGTCTGTGTAATGTCATTAATGAAATCTTTTCAAAATCCTTTACAATGTTGAAGTCTAAATTTGTTTTTTTTATTTCTTTTTCCTAAGGTTTCTTAGCAACCAAAGGCTGCAATTGGCAACCCAGGAAACTATATTGCTTTTCTGTAAGCATAAAACTCACATTCTGGGTATGCTGACGAAAGTAGCCATTCTCATACACCAGTTGAGACACCTGCTTCTGCAACCGATCATTCTCCTCCATCAACAGCTTGTTCATTGCCGTTAGCTTCCTATTCACAGCCTGAAGGCGGGAAGCCTCTTTCCTCTGCTTCTCTCTGCATCTGAAGAGATGAAAACAGAAGCACACGAATACGCTTTTAGTATTATGTAAAACCAAAATCAATCAGTTGCAGAGAAACAAAGTGGAAAAAAAAGAAACCAGTACTTTGACTTAAAACTCTACAAAAAAGGAAAGAAAAAAGGAGCTGATCCCAGCTTAAAAAAACCCAAGCAAGTCCTGAACTCCCAAATACTAATGAACGGCAAGATCTAACTCTAAAAGGGTTTCATTTTTTGTATAAATCTTTCAGCAACTGAACAAAATACTGAAGGAAAAAAAAATGAAAAAATGGGTTTCTGCAGAAAGAAACATACCTCCTGTTCTGGAACCAAACTTTGATCTGCTTTGGCTCTATGTTAGAGAGAATCGGGCACTCTCTTATCAACTGTTGGCGGCGAATGGAACTGGGTTTCGGACACTCATGGTAGAGCCTCTCAAGCGCCTCAACCTGCTCAGGTGTGTACCTCACATATTTTCCATTATCCATGTTCCCTAGCTTACCATCCTTGCAGGACATTGCCATCGTTCACTTGTTTCAACTCAACAAATCCACAGAAACCCACCAAAACCACTTCTGTAAAACCACAATTATATTTTCGTGGGTCTTTGCGGAGCTTCAAACCATGCAAGGAAAGAAACAATAACTACTTCCAACCGCAGACCCACAACACCCACCAAGGAAAAACTAAAGCAGACCCGAGTAGATTTCCTCTTCAAATCCAAATCAACTTGAGAAGCTTCAAAGATGCATATCCACCCGAAAAAACATATAACCTAAGCCAAGTAGCTCCTCTTCCTCACCAGATGGGGAATCCAGAATTTTTTACCATAAACTTTCAATAACTAAACAAGACACAAGTAGCTCATATCCTTCACTAATATTCCAACCACTTTTTGGAGCTCTCAAAGCCTGCTATGAGGAAGGGAAGCAACTGGTTTTGTCCAGAAATGGATATTATTGCTCAGTTTATGTATGAATCTCCAAACCTTTGCCCCCTTAGTGTCTGGTCTAATGGGGTTTTTGAATGTTAGATGCACGGATATGGATACAGATACAGCTAAACCGACAAGGGGCAAGGATATTCAGATTGGAGATGTTGCTATTCTTGTTTTGTCCACTTTGAGGCAAGCTCCAAACACAAGAAAGCATAAATCTTTCGAAATCAGAGATTTTAACACCACAAAACGATCTGACTGAGGAAAAACATTTTCAACAAGTGTTTCCTAAAAACACCCAAAAAAGCGGTAATAAAAAATAGAAAGGAAGATAAACAAAAACGAAACGACGCCCGCCAAGAAACGTTTCGTAGCAGGATTTTCTCGTGGTCAGCTACAACCGAGTCACCAACACGACCCAGCTAACCCTCCTATTCCGATCCCATGAAAACACCCGACTCACCAAAAACCGTTTCTTAACCCGAAACGTTTCGAAGCAGGCGTATATTCCGCTCAAAAGCTGCCACTCGTTTTCAAGATCTTCCCTTTCACGTACAAGAAGCCTGACTAAACCTCACAATCTCAGAGATCTTCATGTTAACTAATCTTCAAAAATCGTTCCTAACCTTTGAAACATATTTCCTTCCTTAAAATCTCATTGAACCACAAACTACGTTCTCTTCCACCATGAGAGCTCTGGGTTTTCTTCTTTAGGTAGAAAAAAAAAAACAAAGGAAAGGGAAAGTGGGTTTTGAAAGGAGAGAAAACAAAAAGGCCAAAAAAAAAAGAGAAAATGAAGAGTAATTTAGATATTAAAAAAAAAAGGGAAGAAAAGAGAATTGAAGGCAGTTCTATTTATGGTTTGGGTTTCGTTGTTGTTGCTTGCTGGTTGGTTTGATTGAGATTCATTGAAATTTTGTTTTAGATGTTGGTGTTTTTTGCAGTGGCTTTTTTTCTCATTGGCTGGTCACTTTCGGCTCCGGAGGTCGTCAACTCCACTGTGTAAGGATATGGGGAAGAGAGCAGCAGCACTGCACTGTACTACGTGCTCGTTCATCAACACATTGCTTCTATGAAATTACTATTATACCCCTACGTTGCTTTTGACAACCCGACATCCTCCACTTTGTTGAAATTTGTGACTGCCTCTCCCACATTTTGCTCATGGATTTTGTGCTATCCCCTATCTATTTCCAATTTTACCCTTATTCAATAAATGGTACTTTAAAAAATTGAAATAAATAATTGAATTTTATTACGATAGGCAATATTGTAAAAGCAAAAGGTGGGGCATTGAAGGAGGGAATGGCAAAATCGTAAATTAAGACGAGAAAAGGGGGCAATAAAGTAAAGGTGCCGCGCGGATCAGAGGCTTATAAAATACTAAAGGCATGAGAGGAGGTCTGCGTGGGACACAGAGGACACCATGATGAGGTTTTTGCATGCGTCTCGATTTTAAAGCTGGACTAATTTTTATTTTTTAAAAAATATTTATTAATTAATTTTTAAATTATTTATTATTATTTAATTCTTTAAATAAATACACTACGCATCATTATCCCCCTGCCAAAACCACAAAAATGAAATAACCGATATACGCATGGAA